TCTGTAGCAGGGGAAAAGAACAAGAGTCCAGGAGCACCTTGAAGACTTAACAAAATTTGTGGCAGGAACATGAGCTTTTGTGAGTCACTGCTCACTTCTTCAGATACCACAAGGTTGATGGATTCCCATTCTGCTAAATATGGTACTTTCCATGGAGATAGATCAAGGTGGGTAGTCCTATTAGTCTGTCCATAGCAGTAGAAGAGACCAAGAGTCCAGTAGCACCTTAAAGAGACGAACAAAATTCATGTGGTAGCAGCAGCTAAAATCTTATATGCAACTTTTTGAAACTTCCAACAATACCCTCTGAACAAGACCTAATAATGAAAAAGAAGAAGAAGTGATTGGATTTATACCCCGCCCTTCACTCGGAGTCTCAGAGCGGCTTACAAACTCCTTTCCCTTCCCCTCCCCACAACAGACACCCTGTGAGGTGGGTGGGGCTGAGAGGGCTCTGACACAAACTGCTCTTTTCCAAGGACAGCTGTACCAGAGCTTGTGACAGACCCAAGGCCACCCAGCCAGGTGCAAGTGGAGGAGTGGGGGATCAAACCCGGTTCTCCCAGATTAGAGTCCGCACACTTAACCACTACACCAAACTGACTCTCCATGGAAAGTGCGGAAATAGACAAACTCACTTTGATTTTAAAAGGGCAGATGGAAGAAGACTTTGTTGGACTATGGAGTCCTTTTTACGATTTGATAAGAAAGAAATATAAAGATATGAATTCTTTGATATAATACAAAGTAGCCTTTATGAACTTCTAAAATTTCACAGACAGAAATGATATGTGGAGAAGAGTTACATGCAGAAGACTTGTTATTTTGTTTCTCCTTTCCCCCCTTACCCCTGTATACCCAAAAACCTAATAAAGTGTATTAAAAAAAAAAGACTAACAAAATTTGAAGCAGGGTATGAGCTGAGATTTTCTTTGTCTTTTAAGGTGCTACTGGACTCTTGCTTATGTTATGTTCATGAATTTAACTGATTAAGGGGGAGGCGGTGCAGGTGTGAGGAAAAGAATCAGAGATGAGTCACTCTGATAACCATATGATACAGGAAGTTTCCTTATACCAAATCAGACCACTGGTCCATCAAGGGTCAGTATTGTCTACTCAAACCGGCAGGGGCTCTCCAGGGTCTCAGGCAGAGGTCTTTCACTTCACCCACTGCCTGGCCCTTTTAGCTGGAGATGTCGGGGATTGAACCTGGGACCTTCTGCATGCAAAGCAGATGCTCTTCCACTGAGCCATGGCCCCTCCCCATCCAAAAGAGCCCTCAACATTATTATTATTATTATTATTAACTTTATTTTTAATAGTTCACATTTCTTACAGAGACTCACAGCAGATTGAATAAACATGCGTAGTAAATAAGCACAGTGTAGGCTAATGCAATCAGTAGGATGAAACCTCTAATAAGCAATGTAATAGGACTAGGATTACAGCAGTCTGAAACAATGTAAGGCAGAATTGTTCAGGAGGACAGTCTTATAAAGGTGATAGGGCTATTTTAGGACTTCCGTGTCAGCAGGATTCAACAATTTTTCTACTGAATCAAGTATGAAGCCCATCTTCTTTTTCCCTTTAGGAAATAATTTGTCCCGGTCTGGAGGTTTTTCTCCATGAGGACTCTGTTTAAGCTTGTTGTAAATGACAACACAAAGACTGTAACGCAATTTGTGAATTGCTTTAATTAGTCATTGTCGTATGGTTTGCACTACAATTTATTATTATTATACGATATGATATATAAAAATATAATGAATCTATGGGTTTTGATTAGTATGTTTGTCATGGTTTCATTTCCATTTGCTATATATTTTTCCGTGATTCTGTCTCATTTTGTATTTTCCATTTAGCTGGCAGCAGTGGCTGAAACCAGGAGCTGCTCTGGCCGCAGAGCTGTTCCCAGACACAGAAAGCCTCTCTGGCTGAGCCCAAAGAATTCATAAAATCCACTAGTGACGATTGATATTTTAAAACTGGTGGTAGGCAGAAGAACTCATCAAAGGTTGTCATGAATAAAACTGTGTTCAGCTGCCTCCTAAAGATTGAGTTCGGAGGGGCTGGGCAGACTTCTCCGGAGAGGTTGTTCCATAACCCTGGAGCTGCCGCTAAAAATGCCATCTCTCGTGTTCCTGGCACAAGCTTCTTTGGTCGAAGGGAACGACAAAGAGGGCCTTTCCCTGTGATTTTAGGTCCTAGGCCGCAACATACGGGAGAAGACAGTCCGTTACACTATCCCAGTCCCAAGCCATGTACAGCTTTAAGAACACAGGAGGAGCCCTGCTGAATCAGACCAAAAGTTCATCCAGGCAAGCATCCTTTCTCACAGAGTGGCCAACCAGTTCCTTGGGATGGCCAGCAACAGGGCACAGAGGCCGAGGCCTTCATAAGAACATCAGAAGAGCCCTGCTGGATCAGACCAGTGGCCTATCTAGTCTAGCATCCTGTCTCACACAATGGCCAACCAGTTCTTCTGGACAGCCAACAACAGGGCATAGAGGCCGTGGCCTTCATAAGAACATCAGAAGAGCCCAGCTGGATCAGACCAGTGGTCCATTTAGTCCAGCATCCCCTTTCACACACTGGCCAACCAGTTCTGTTACACGGCCAGCAACAGGGCATAGAGGCCACGGTCTTCATAAGACCATAAGAAGAGTCCTGCTGGGTCAGACAGATGGTCTAGTCTAGCTTCCCATCTCACATAGCGGCCAAGAAGTTCCACTAGATGTCTAACAACAGGGCATAGAGGCCGAGGCCTTCCCCTGATGTTGCCTCCTGGCTCTAGTATTCAGAGGATTAGTGCCTCTGAATGTGGAGGTTCACCTCAGCCACCATGGCTAGTAGCCATTGGTAGACTTCTCCTCCATGAATCTATCGAATCCCCTTTTCAGGCTGTTTCTTCTTGTGGCCATCACTACGTCCTCTGGCAGTGATTTCCTTATTTTAATCACTCTCTGTGTAAATTAGTATTTCCTGTTGTCCGTTCTGAACCTGCTGCCCATCAGCTTCAATGGATGCCTTGAATTCTACTATTTTGGGAGAGGGAGAAAAATTTCCCTTTGTCAGCTCTCCTCATCCCATGCATAATTTCATAAGCCTATATCATGCCCCTCCTTAGTTGTCTCTCTTCTAAACCTTTAAATCTTTCGTACCTCCTACATAAAGGTTTGCCGAATGAGGGCGAAATGCATTGCCTTTGACTCAGTAGACTTATACTGGAGCGAACCTGCATTGTAAGTTGCGATGTAAACATGTTGTCATTCGTAAAAGTATATGACGGCAGAAAATGTTTTTAGTCTTTAAATCCCGCCCTCTTTTTTTGGTTGAAACCCACATAACACACCTATTTCTCAGGTGAAATTTCTTGAATATTCATTTCTTTTAGAAAGTCTTACAACCCAAGGAAGGGAACAGAGGTCTTTCTGTAAGTAATTCCTCTATGCAAGCAGTGCCATCTCCATTGGTCTTTTATAAAGGTGGCATACTGGAATGTTTTACCTTTTCTAGTTTTCTCACCTTCACATTGGAAATCCTTGTAAGCCTAGCTCAGAATGCCCGTGATTTGTGGGAACGTCTTATGCCCCGTGGGGGTCTGTGTGAAAGAGCTTTGTATTTATTTATTTATTTATTTAGACTTATACCCCGCCCTGCCAGCCAAGGCCAGCTCAGGGCGGTTTACAACAGAATAAAACACACTCATAAATTTAAATAATATCAGGGCTTTTTTTGTAGAAAAAGTCCAGCAGGAACTCATTAGCATAATAGGTCACACCCAGCAGCAGAAACTCATTAGCATATTAGGCCACAACCCTGACTACACCGCTCATTAGCATATTAGGCCACATTCCCATGTTACCAGAAGTGTGCTCATCCAGCCACACCCACCTTTTGCTTCTTATTCTGTTTACCTTGTTTGTTGTCAAAACCCAGGGCTTTTCCTGTAGCAGGAACTCCTTTGCATGTTAGGCCACACACCCCTAATGTAGCCAGTCCCAATGAGTTTCTGCTGTTGGGTGTGGCCTATTATGCTAATGAGCTCCTGCTGGGTGTGGCCAACTTGGGAGCCAGCCGGAACTCCATTCCTGTGCATTCCTTCCCAAAATAGCCCTGAATAATCCTAAAAACAGATAAAACATTTCGACATTTAAAACATTTTAAAGTGCTAGCATTTCATAACATTAATAAATTATTAAATTATGGCAGCTCCTTTCGTCGTAGTGGTTAGCCCATTGATCTAATCTTGTGCAGCCAGCAGAGGCTGTTCTTATGGCTTCAGGGAACATGGGTCTTTATCGGGGTGGCTCCTAATTAAATGCCTGGCGGAAGAGCTCCGTCTTGCAGGCCCTGCGGAACGGCATAAAGGCCCGCAGAGCCCTGATCTCTGGGAGGTACTTCCTGGTTGTTTCTATCTAGAGAGGCCAGGGATTGGACCTGCGACCTTCTGTGTGCAAAACTGATGCTCTGCCACTGAGCAACAGCCCCATCAATAATAACAAAGTGCTGTGATCTCACAACCGACTTGTGGAGACAGAGTTGGTTTGCCATTGCCTGCCTCTGCATAGCACACCTGGACTTCCCAGGTGGTCTCCCATCTAGGTACTAACCCGGGTTCTAAGTATTAACTAACCCTGCTTAACTTCTGAGCACTGACGAGCTCAGAGTAGACAGGGCTCTTCCGGCTGCTTTGGTGCATCCCTTCTGAGAATTCCTTCTCTTCAGAAGAAACTGGATGAAGTGTGGTGGGTTTTCTCAGCATTGATCTTGCTTCAGTATCCTCTGCCCGCCCCCCCCTTTCTTCTTTTTGGCATCTCCGGCCTTGTTGAAAGCAGTACTGAGCTTTTGGGGGTTCTTACAGTCTTCTTTGCCTCCCTCCAGTTGAAAGGACCATGACAGAGATGAAAGATGAGACCTTTGAACAGGAAGGCCTTGAGCCAGGAGGAATGCTTGAGGGTTCTCCGGGAAGATTGCCCAAGGATGCGTTCTTCCAAACGATGTCTGATAAAGGTGAGTATCTTTCTAAATGGGAGGATAAGAACAGAAGAAGAGCCCTGCTGGATCAGACAAATGGTCCATCTAGTCCAGCATCCTGTCTCACACAGTGGCCAACCAGCCCCTCTAGTGGTCCAACAACAGGGCATAGAGGCTGAGGGTCTGATCCAGCAGGGCTCTTTTTATTTATCTGTTTGTTTCTTCACGTTTATAGCCCGCCCTTTCCAGAGGCAGGCTGAGGGCAGGTAACAACACTTCATTTATACAAAATACAATAAAATCAAATTTAAAACATCATCATAAATATCAGAGGTCATTTTGGGGGGGATCGCGGGGGATCGCAGTTCCCCCGGGTGAGGTACGGGGGGCGGGGTACATGACAAAGCCCCACCCCCGCTTCCAGCCGCCCCGCTTCCGACCCTCATTCAGCCAGGAGGAGGCAGGAGAAGAGGGAGGGTAAGTTGCTTCCTCCCTGCCTCTCCCCACCCCTGCCTGCCTGGGGCCAGGGAGGGCCTTCCGCGGGGCTTCCTTGCACTTCTGCCGGCCTTGCAGGTCCACCGCCGGGCCCCTCATGGGGCTCGGCAGTGGAGCTGCAAGGCCGGCG